TGTGTGTGTGTGTGTGATAGAAGAAGCCTGTAAATAATATAAAAATTGTGTCCCCAATCAACCCACACGGTATTTTGTTTTTGCATTAATTCAGTACCTTCCAGACAACAATAGATCATTTCCGAGTTCAATAAACATGGTCTAATGGAAATTTTTTAAAAGATGCGATAGTAGTTATAGTGGCATTGGCAGAGCCGAGGTAGTTGTAGTGGTGGTGGTAGTGGTAGAGGTAGGGATAATAATAGTAGCAGCAGCGGCAGGAATCCCATGTGCTGTTGGGTCAATAACAGCACCATCATCAACCTGTGTTACTTTGATGAGGTGTGGGGTGGGGTGGGGGGATGGGCCACCGTTTTTATAAGTTTCAAAGAAAAAATACACTCTCAGCCTGGGTGGGCCCTAGCAGGCACGGTCAGAAGCCCGCCTCCTGACTAATCTAAATTACCTTGATGGGGGCGTAAAATCACCTACAGGAAAAAAAGTATATTGTAATAAGAAACCATTCAGTTTACAAAACATGTATTTTTCTACCCAGACGTGAGCATTGGCGAGAAGCTGCCCTCGGACAGTGAGACAATGGACGTGTTTAAGGCTAAGTACATACAGGTTAGTGGTTTACTTGGTCGCTGTCGATCAACCTTGGTATTCGTCAAAACTGTGAAATAATGAACATGAAGTATGTTGTATAGTTTGACGAGTCACAGTGATCTGTGTTGGTCTCATTTCTCTTCTTGAATTAGGAACAGATTTTTGACGATTCAAGCATTTTGTAGTAAGATAAAGTTCTGAGAGAAAAAAACACAGATTATTTTATTTCTCCTGTTTGACTCGAGCAGTACATTTTGTTGTTGCTGTTGGGCTGAGTTGTTGCAAACTACAGTTTTTCTGAAGCTATAATACAGAGACACAAAAGTTCCACGTTTATTGGACTAATAGAAAACTTGGAGGGAGAAAATCGATAGAGAATTAAATATATAATTACATATTTTTCATTAGTCTGACTTGGGACTGCTTTGAAAATGTGTTTGTTTGAGTCTTTTTAGGTTACAACAAAAGTCATTTTTCTTGTTATTAATGTCCTAATCCTGGGATGTTATTGCTCTCACTCAGAATAAACCAAAACTTTGCACAACTTCGGACCCTGTAACAATTTTAAGAGAATGTTGATACTTTAGTGAATACGAAGCTGTATCTGGATAAGTCTTGACTTGGACAAGGTTTGTCTATTGAATGTTTGTCTGTGTGTGTGCAGGGCTACAACTCTGTGCGGGAATACATCGCTGCCCAGGGCCCCATGCCTTCCACTGTGCCAGACTTCTGGAGGATGGTGTGGGAACAGAAGTGTAAGGTCATTGTCATGCTCTCAGACCTTACAGAGGGGGGACGGGTAAGACTTTATTTTAAAAATTTGATAAAGATAAATGATTAGTATCAGCATTATCATCATCATCATCATTATCATCATTATCAATAGCCCAATGGATTGTTGACAATTGCCACAGTAGAACCAGTGTGCTGATCCTGGCTGACAGTCAGTTCCTCTGCAAGGGGCTGCTGGGCAACAGCTCAAACATAAATGGTTTGTGCCGCAAGTTCAGTGAAGCCAGAGCCACAATAAAAATCCGGTGGATTCCAAGCCATATTGGAATAGAAGGAAATGAGGCAGTAGACCAAGCTGCCAAAGAAGCCAGCGAAATTGAAGGAGATAGACGACCAGCAACATACAGAGGAGTCTTTCCAATTATCAAGAGGGAAATCAGAGACCCATCATGTAGAGCTAAGTAGTACCAGCACCTGGAAGATGTGTATTCTGGGTACTCCAATAAGCAGGAACAAAATATCACATGTCGCTGGGACCAGGTTGAGCTAGCGAGACTGCGGTTGGACCATCATTGGAGCTTGAGATGGTATAAGAACTTTGTAAATGAAGAGCTAGGCCCACGTTGCCGAAGATGAGGCCATGAAAAGGATGATTTCAAACATGTTTGAATGTATAGGAACAATGGCAATTCGAATGGAGTTATTTGGACGAGTGGAGGTGCCTCTAGATATATTGACAATGGAGCCGAAAAAGAGCCTCACTCTCGCTCGAAGATTTCTTCGTGGAGTCCACCAGGCCCATCAATGAAACCAAAAAATCATCATCATTGTTATACATTATGAAAGAATGTAATATGGAGACATGGATGTGGAATAGAAAAAGTATATGTGTGTGTGTGTGTGTGTGTGTGTGTGTGTATGTGTGTGTGTGTGTCTTAAGGATGAAGTAACTTTTATGCAGCAAGTGTCAAGTCTTTGATTCTAATTCGTAAATGTTTAAGCCTGTGTGTCTTTGGAGGGAGCCTAAGTTCCACATCTGCCTGGATTCTCTAGGAATAAGGTTTTGTTTGGTTAGGATTTGACCAAATCAATGCCCTCAAGCAACAGATCAAGGGTACTATTGTGGTCAGGACCTTGGAAGTGTAGGTCAACTGGCGGGCGAAGATTATTCTGCCCACAGTTCCCGCAGTTGTTACACGTCTCTCTATCTGTGGTGATGGTTTGAACCATAACATATAAGGCTGAGAAGATTTTACATTTAATACATAGATATCACTATCAAGATTATCATAGTTCTACCTGATTGCAATACCATAAAGATAAGTATTTCATTGCCATCATACTTCATTGTTGTGTGTCCAAATACAACGTTTTCAGGAAGAACAAAAAACCCTGCGTTCCAGACAGAACTTTATGTAAAGGAAAAATGATTTAATTCGTTTAACCCGTTATTATTTTAAGAAGAGGAGTGAGAATAGGACTGATCAATACGCCTCTTCAAACTCTAGAAACATACTTGGTTTTCCTTTTTTGTTCTCTCGAAAATGTGACATACTACGATGTTAAATGACAGTGACAATAACATATTTGAACTCCTCATTGTTCTTCTCAAAGAAGGTAGGGGGCCAACCTGATTTGCTCTTCTGGAATACAACAGTGGTGTTAAAACTAAAGTATAATGCCATGCCTTCGCGCATTACGATGATAACAGACCTCATGCGACGTTTGATTTGTATACTAGATTAAGCAGATTCCATATTGAGGGTTTGGGGGTGTTACGTGTTGCAAGATTCTTGTATTATGCAAACATTCACTGCCAACGTGTCTAAATGAGTGTAGTTGGTCAGAGTACACCGTCTCACACCTGTCTTAAAATCGGAAACCTTTCACTTTCAGGGAAAAGGGAAATCGTACTGGCCGAAGAAACTCAACGAATCTGTTGAGTATGGAGACATTGTGGTGAAGATGACCCAGGTCTTAATGATCAACAAATACACTATACGTAAATTCCAGATCTCCATGGTAAGTTATTTGTTTGTAGGTATAAATCGCCGGTATCTCGACTTCTATTCAAAATAGACAGGGTTTTTATACAAGTTTGTACACAACATTAGGAAGTCAAAAGGAATTTGTTTGATATTCATTTTTAGAAAAAATCAACATTTGATGTGACAACATATATTTATAAGGTTCCCAATGGTTTGTAAAGGCTACAAGTTGTGTGCTCTTTGTATTTCCTGTACTACTCGGTTTTTTACAATTATTATTAAAAAAATATTGCTGTTGTTATAACCACTCGCCAAAAACTACATCACTCGAGATTTATAAAGTTTTTGAAGCTAAGTTTATCTTTCTTTTATTTCTTGTCATAGCAAGAATATTCCAAAAATTTGGGCAAAGAGGTTACAAACTTGAAAACCCTTATGCTAGCAAATAAAACTTTAGCATTAATACCTTCTTTAAAAATCATTGTGAATTGAGACTAAAATGCGGTCAAAAAAGTGTGGCGCAACTTATTCTCAAATACCTTTTTAACGGATGAACCAATGTCACCCATATTTTGCATAGCAGTTTGCATCAATGTCTTAACTGAATCATACTTTTCCACAACTTTCGAGGTAAGATTAAAAAACGTTTCTTCTTTCATTTATTTAAAATACTACAAATATCCTTCACACGGAAAACGGAATTGTTCACAGCACTTCCCGCTTCTCACACATATTATTTTGCGTACGTATTTGGCCTACGTCACAGCTCACCAATGATACTTTTTTATGGCAAAACTAGTTACAAGAAATTTATTTATAGTGAACACTTTTTTGCACTAAAAGTTTTCAAAACATGCGTTCAAAAAGCATAATGTCGAGATAAGAAAAACATGACGGTCTTCCTTTTAAAAGCGATAACGTCCCAGCTGTAAACCTTTTTGAATCAGTAGAAATCACCCGTGTTGGATTTGTTATTAGTATTTATTGAGGAATTTTCTAGAAAAGAACTAACAGGTGTTTACAAAAATATAAAAGTGTTAAGACAAATTGATAAAAACCATTGTGCAAAAGCTGGAAAGCTTACCTTCGATAGTAGAATAATATCTATATAATCTAACTGGACTTGGCAGGCTTTGTGAACAAACTCCTCCCTTATTTCCTAACCACACCTTTGAAAAACTTTGCAGGCGTCCACAGCATCCTTGTGGTTAGGACTTAACTTTAAAAAATTCACTCGAACTGTTTTCCCCGATTTTCCAAATTGTTTTGTTTCGTCCACACAGAGTTCTAATCTTGGGAAAATCCGTCTTCTAAGACGCCATTGTAAACAAGTGAGGTTTTCGTTCACTAGCCGTGGGCAGTGCATCCTAACCTTTGAAATTCTGGAGTGCACAACCACGAAAGCGGAATAGAGAATCAATCTTACTTGACTTACTTGTCTTACTTATCCACTGTGTTGGGGTCATTGCAGTCGGAACATGTCCATCTCTGCTCTCTCCCGCCCCCCCTTTCAGGATCCATCCCAGAGTGTCTGCTTATAGTCTCCATCTTAATCTGGTTGGAGATCCGTCGGACTGGTCAGCACAGATGGCTGTGTTTCCCTTCTCCTCTTTGGATCCCCTTCTCCCTGAATCTACCTAGAGTGTGGGAACCGTTATCTGCCCTATTCTTCCTCAAATTTTCCCTTACAGCGGTTAGGACGGATGGTGGGTCCAGTGTCAAATTCCCTTCTACTTTTGCTTCTCCAGCCAGCCTGTCTGCTCTCTCGTTGCCGGTTACTCCCGCGTGGCCCGGGAAAGAGCTCCAGGTCCAAAACAAACAAGGACCACACACACCCATCCAATTACAGACCTATAGCACTAACGAGCTGTCTCTGCAAACTAATTGAAAAAATGATCCACAGGCGACTCATGTGGTTTCTGGAAACGACGGGCTCGCTGAGCGGTCTCCAGTGCGGATTCAGGAAAACTCGATCCACTCTGAATCACCTGGTCCGCCTGGAGACCTTTATACGCGAGACGTTCGCTGAAGGAGGCCACACGATCGCCATCTTTTTCGACCTAGAAAAGCCTTCGACACAACCTGGAAGTACGGCATTCTTCGAGACCTGCATGCACTCGGCATACGCGGTCACCTCCCTGCCCTCATTGGCAATTTCCTGAAGAACCGTTCCTTACAGGTTCATGTCGGATCCTCCCTTTCAAATCCCCACCAACAGGAGGAAGGAGTCCCTCAGGGGAGCATCCTTTCTCCTATCCTATTCGAAATTAAAATAAATTCCATAGTAAAAACCCTCCAAAACAGCATAGACAGCTCGTTATACGTTGACGACTTTTTGATATGCTGCCGTTCGAAAAATCCTCATTTGAGATCTATGGAAAGGCAGCTGCAAACACAGCTGCACAAACTCGAACAGTGGACCAACAATAACGGTTTCAAGTTCTCCCCGTCAAAGACGGTTGCAGTACACTTCTGCCGAACTGGCAGACGTGTGCTGCGGCCGGATTTGACACTATACGGGGAAAGGATTCCCGTCCAGGACCAAGCTCGTTTCCTTGTCGTCATTTTCGACAAAAAACTCACATTCATACCACACATCAAAGACCTTCGTGTGAGGTGCAGGAAAGCGCTAAACGCTTTGAAAATTCTATCGCATCCGGAGTGGGGCGGGGACTCAAAACACCTTCTCCACTTGTACATCTCCCTTGTCCGGTCCAGGCTTGACTACGGCTGTCAAGTCTACGGATCGGCAAAACCACACATCTTAAAAATGCTAGACCCAGTACAAAACCAAGGACTCCGCCTTGCTCTGGGGGCTTTCCGCACTTCTCCGGTGGAGAGCCTCCAGGCCGAGGCCAACATACCACCACTCTCACTCAGACGCACACAACTCTCACTACAATACGCAATTAAACAGAGCTCACCACCGGAAAATCCTGCGCACAACAGCATTTTTAAAACAAACCAAAACAAATTCCAAAACAACGAAAAACTCATCAAACCCTTCGACCTCAGAATCCCTGAAGACCTCAAAAACGTACACTTTTCCAAACAAGACATCCAACAAATTCTTTTCCCCGACCTCTCTTCGTGGCACTTCACCAAGGCAAACGTAGACTTACAGCTAACACACGCAACAAAGAAAGCAGAAACACCAAAACTTTTAAAGCAGAATAAAAAAAAAGTTAATATATAAATACCCCGTCTTCACGGATGGCTCCAAAAAAGACAATGAAGTGGGCGCCGCAGCCCTACCTCCCAACAGTATACACCAGAGGAGACTTCATCCTGAAGCCTCCATTTTCTCTGCGGAGGCCACTGCTATTGACATGGCACTGGACTCCGTAGAAAATTCCCCAAACAAATCTTTCCTAATCCTTTCTGACTCTCTGTCTTGCATCACCTCACTCACAAACTACACACTTTTACACCCAGAAATGGTTAGGCTACAACAGAAAATTCACACACTATTCGAGACAGAAAAAACATCATGTTCGCATGGATACCTAGCCATGTGGGCATCCGAGGAAACGAGCAGGTAGACGACCTGGCGAAGAAAGCCTCATCTCTTCTGCTGGGATCAACGACAAACACTCACCCACAGACTGACTTTAGAAATAAAGCAAAAAAGTACACCTCCAGTCTGTGGGAGAGCCACTGGGAAAAACGGAAAAACAACAAACTGAATGTTATAAAACCCAAACTGAAACAGCAAAATCATTCCGACCTCTCCAGAAGAGACGAAGTCATTTTTACTCGATTGCTCTTCGGACACACAGCCCTGACCCATAAATACCCCCTACAGGGAGATGAGAAGCCGTTCTATGTCGGATGCGACACAGATTTTACCGTTATACACATCTTAACCAACTGTCTGGACTTTGAAGAGATCCGAAGGAAATATTATAAATGCAAGAAATTGCAAGACATTTTTTCTGTCGTTGGTCCCAGCAGAATTTTGAATTTTATGAAGGCCATTGGCCTTTATGGCGAATTGTAAAGTGAAACAATATTGCTAAAAAAATTATTGTTATTTATAAGAGTTGTTTTAAATCGCAAATATATTAACACTGAATTCTAGTATTTTAGCATTTTAAAGTCTAATTGTCGACCAACCGTGCAGTGAACTTTACTGTTGCGAATGCTACCAACTTGTGTTTCGCGCGCTCATATGACCTTATGCAGTTGCGAGCGCCGTAAAACCCTATACTACTACTACTACAATGATTTTCAGGCGATCATTCCTTTCATCGAAAGGGGGATCGGCTAGTTTGACAATAAGTTGCTCCACGAATTTTTGACCGTACTGTAGTACCTGATTCCTTTTTTCTAACAATGATGAGTCCATTTTTTTTTTGCAGGGTTCAGACACACGCCTGTTGACCCACTTTTCCCTGCAAGGCTGGACTGACGCCAAGGTCGACTTGACAGTAGAAGATGTGGTAGGCTTCGTCCAAATTGTGCGACAGGAAGCCATACATACGAATTCTGGGCCGTTTGTCGTCCATTGCAGGTTGGTAGATGCTTTCTCACATGATTAAAATAAAAGCCGATTGGTCAATTAAGGAATGTGCATAATTAATCTGAATAATCAAATCGGATTGAATACTGGCATTTGTGGTGTAGCGCATAAACACTTCACAGTCGCATGCAGTAGACCGCAGTTTGATTCCCAAATGGGTAGAAGTTTTTTTATAGAGAATCTTGATCTTTCTACAGGGATGTTTTATAGAGTATCTCGATTTTTCTGCTGGGATGTTGTATCCCCCTCAGTCCGAGTTGGCCCTGACAGTGTTATGTTTGGAAGCCCGCCTCCTAAATAATAATCTCATTTTGTGTCGGTGGGGGTGTAAAAATACCCACATTTTACTATTTTAAAAAATTTCGGATGGGGTCATCGGGAAATGTCACTGACCAGCGCACTCTGTATATTGTCTTTTTGTACGGAGTGCAATAGGCCCTATTGGAAGGCGTATTTGTGTTTGTGTGTGTATGTTTGTGTGTGTGTGTGTGTGTGTGTGTGTGTGTGTGTGTGTGTGTGTGTGTGTGTGCTCTATGTTATGAGTACCCTGTTCTATGTTATGATGTTCACAGCGCTGGTGTGGGTCACACTGGTACTTTTATCGCCCTGGACTATTTGAGCCAGTTCGTGGACAAGCACAGACTAGATAAGAACATCGACGTTTTCAGTTACGTCATGAAGATGAGAGAGAACTGTCCCGGTATGGTGCAGACGGAGGTGAGGTTCACAGTCCAAACCTAAGTTAGGTTTAGGTATCCATCAAACTGATACCTTGGTACAGGTATCCAAGCTGCTCCTAAACAATTGCAAGAATGATACCAGAAGATCAAGAAGCATAACAAATCTAGTCAATTTTATACCTCCTATCTCCACAAATAAGAGTGGCTATTTCTCAAACATCGTATGCTTGTGTTCAACTACTTGTCTTCCAAATTCCTCTGTCCAACATTAATAGAGCAAACTGCGTCTGTAATTCACCAGCTTTTTTCCTCTGTACGTATTCTCCGTACACATCGACGAGTTCCCTGAAAAATCCCATTGGGTCATTTCCTTAGGTTATATGCATGTACAAATTACATGATGCCTCCTCTTTGACATTCCCACCATAAGGGTCGCCATATCTGATGTGATATACCAGACACATAAGTTTTGCTGTACACCTGCAAGTTTTACTTGCGCAACTTCGAGTAGAGATCATAGCCTTTTGCACAACAGATGATAAAGAGAGGTATTTTATTTTCAGTCATGACCATTTTCACAATCCTTGTCGGAGAGGCCTTTTATTTTGATAGTTACAGACTGGATGCTTTTCCAGGCAAAACAGAGTTAATTGATATATTTTTATCTAACTGCCAACCGTGATTTTATTTTCAGACTCAGTACATTTTCATCTTTGATGCACTGATGGCGGTGATACAGAAAAAGATAAATGAAGACCAGGAGAGGGTCTATGACAATATCAGAGAGAGTGAAGAGGACATGAACGAGAACCTTTCCCCGGAAGAAACTTCACATTATTATTCAAACCTGTAGGTCTTCTTGGATTTCCCATTTTGTCCATGACAGCTCAACTTTTGCTGGATGAACAGGTTTTGTGGATGCTTTGAGAGCACTCTTGTCTTGTCCTTTCATTGTACTTCTTTTCACTCTGTTTTATCTCCTGGTCTCTCCCTGTCTGAATGGAGCTGTTATTGCACTGGTTTGCCATAAAATTGGTTAATAGGCTGCTAGACAACTAAGTATGAGGTTTCTTCAATTGTAAAATATTTTGACAAGCTGTGTTTTATGCATATGTCGATTTTGATACAATAGAAAGGCAGAAGGACACAACTGGTCGATAGGGTGTCAGAGAGATTGGTATGATTTTTCTTCAATTGTAAAATGTCGAGAAACATTTTGACAAGCTGTGTTTTATGCATATGTCGATTTTGATACAATAGAAATAGTTATATTTTGTAACTAAGGCTTGCAGCTTCGAGTACTTGTGACTGACAGGGTTTTTTGTGCACTATTCAGTATAACCTTTTAGGCTACCCAAGATAACGAATTACGTGTTGTTGAGTTGAGGTCTAGTTACACCGTACTGAATCAAGTAAAACACCGAAGATCCAGCTCAGGAGAGAAGCAAAATATGTGTGTGTAGATAATGTACAGCTTACAGCTCTTGATTCTTTTTTTTCTACTTGCCTTCGCTTCTGCCTCCAGTTGTCTTCTAATCCTGATTCAATCGAATGAGCGTTAGCTAATCCATTCCTTGTGCTCCCATTTCTTCACACCGACTACTTCTTGACATGTTAAAGTAAAGACTTCTAACTGAGATATAAGGTATTTCAATGATGGGTGTTTGACATGTGTGCGCTGGACAAGGAGCAAATACACGTACTTTGTTCCATGAAGACTTAGCTCTAGAAGTTTCCAGGAAAGTGACCAAGTATAGTCGAACCTCCTCTATTACCGGGTGCCCATTGCAGATGGGATCGGTCGGGTCGGGTAGATCACTCGACTCGTCGTCTGAAAACAAACATGTATGTTTTTGAGGCAACGAATCACGTGATCAGTATATACATATTATATTATATATATATATATATATATATATATATATATATATATATATATATATATATATATATATATATGACAATCACCTGTACAAACAACCACTCGCCCCCCCCCCCCTCCCCTTGTGTATTTTTAAACAGGATAATGACACTGAGTAAGATATCCACCAGTCTAAGTCATCCACGTTTGTCCTCAACAATGGATAGCCGTCTTAGACAATTTCACCTGGATAAATAATTATTTCTAGATCTTAAGTTTTAGAGATGAACACATAAATTATGAAACTTTAACATGCATTTCTATCCTACTGATCTTTTCATTTGTGCCCCTTTATGGTTTTGTGCCCGTCAACAGGAAATGTACACCTAGTGACCGACTAGAACGGTTGTCAATTATGGCTGTCTGGGTCTTTCTCAAAGATAAGACTGAGAATATTTTACATTTTATTTTTCTAAACAACTGAAACTCCAGACTGCATTGTTATGCTACTAATGACTCTTTATATAACGAATGAAGGGTTCTTTCCTTTCTTGGAAAACTCAATTTCCTACATCCAACATTAAAAACCTTTTGGGGGGACACGTCTTTCTTTCATTCTACTACTAATAGAATAAAACCGTGTTATCCTTCAGAAAGTGAATTTCAGCAAACCAAAGTCGAGATTTTTTCTTTGCTGTAGTTTTTTGTGCCAAGATCTCATGCTTTAATTCTCAAACTGTGTTTTTGTGAACATTATTCTGTGTTTGTTCTTCAGAGCCTGAGTCCCAAAATGTGGAAGTGATCAACGACCAAAAAGAAACTCCCATGACGGTTCTGTAAAGATCTCAACTCACGTGCCCCGAACGACCTGCTCTTTCCACTCAACTGCTCAACCTCTCCGCAAGCCTTCCCTGTTGGCCCACAGCCCTGTCCTCTTGGAAGAAACTGTGACCTTTTTGTCTGCAGCAAACACCAACTTTAGTGCCTTATACATAATACATTTGCCTTATATCTTTATACTTTATCCTCTTCTCCCACTTTGTCATCGGCTTTCAGTAGGGCGCTCCGTTAGCTCAGTTGGTATAATGCAGGGCAATAGAGCGTACTTTCTTGGTTCGAATCCTAGGCTCAGCACTCTTGAAATTGGATTATGTTGTGGAGATTTTCAGGCTTTCAACATATTTGGCTCAATCCTATCGGAGACGGACGTTAAATAACCCATGTACTTACACACACACATACACACACACACACACACACACACACACACATACACACACACACACACACACACACATACACACACACATACACACACACACACAAACACACACACAATTTCCAGACAAACGGTGAGTTTTTCTATTCTCATGGAATTAGTTAAGTAATCACGGTTCTTTTGGTGGACGTCGTTTTGAGAACTCCATAAATAAAAAGATCTTTGCACATGCCGTAACCCCTCCCCCCTCGCCTTCCTTCTCCTCCCCCCTCCCCATGTTGGCCTCAAAGAGGGTGGAGTCCCCAGATGTGTGTAGCAGGTCAAGTGAGCTCCGAATGGAGGCCTCAACTATACTTTTACTATTGTTTCTCAACTTTCTGTATATGAACACCCGACTGTAACACACACAGAACCCCCCGTGTTGGTCAATATCTGGCCTTGTCTGCTACACTTTCCTTTGTTACAGCCGTTAAGGAACTCTTAAATGTTTATGTAAGAGCTTCTAGTTTTGATTCCATAATATTTTGATTGTGACATGTTCAGGACATCTGGGCCGTAGGCTGCACACAAGAAACATTCTATCCCTTTTATTTGATAAGAGTTGTACAAGATGAATAGATGAGGACCATAGCATGCTTTTAGCAATAATGTACAGGAAATGCGTTTTTGGGGACACAATGAATAGACATAAAGGTCTTGCAAATCTAGCTCTCATTGGCAAAATTGAAGGCAAGCGAGGCAGGGGTAGGCCCAGAACAACATACCTAGGGAACCTAAACAAATGGGTAACAGGGAAAGATCAGGGAAACGTAGCTTTTTTAGAGCATCCGAGCAAAGGAATGAATAGAGAACCACGATCGCCGATGTCTGTCCTAGATCTGGCACTGGATGATGATGATGAAGATGATGATGATGATGATGATGATGATGATGATGATGATGATGATGATGATGATGATGATGATGATGACGATGATGATGATGATGACGACGTTCTTCAAATATCAACTTTCCATACTTAGCTTTTTTATAGCAGTTCTCTGCCTTCACCCTAACATGCATATTACCCATGAAATGAGATGGACTCTCAAAAGGTTTGAATTAAGAAAAGTAATGATCATTGCTCTCTCCCTGCACGTAGGTAGTCTAGATAATTTCTGTGACGCTTTACATGTAATCAGAAATCTAAAGTAGCATTTTGTGAGCTTCAGCACTTGAGGGAGATCCGTTCTGATTCCCTTACGGTATAAGATATACATTTACAAATGTACTCATATTGTTGCTTCTCTGCTCTATATTTGAAGACTGTAACTTTAACTGGGATTCGAATTGCTTCTTTGATGCTCTACAAAGAGGTAAAATGTTTTTCTTCCTTGGCTAATGCCAGACTAATTGTTTTTGTAGGAGTAGCAGTATTAGGGACATTATTCTGGTGCACTACATTCGAAGGCAAACGATCAGGTGGTTCGGACATCTCAGACCTAATCAGCTTGCCAGCAAAGCCTACAACAGGAAAGTATCTGGGTACAAGGCAAGAGGAAGACCAAGAAAGACCTGGATCCAGGGTGTGAAGGATACCATGAGAACATAAAATATCCCACCCAGCCAGGCCATCAAACTTGCTAGAGACAGGGAGCTCTTTCTCCCCTCGGATAAAGTAAATTAAAGTATTCAGGTGCACTGTTTTGAGAACCGCCGGTTCATGTACCATTATAGTTGCCGAGTGAATAAAGAAAGTTCTTTATAAAAATCCTCTATTTTTACAAGTGATGTCAATATCAGCTGTGTTCTGTTTTTACTATGTAGTTTTCTATTGTATAAAGATTATCCCAAACATTTCATAAACATTCCTCCAAGACTTCGCAAGTGCTGAAGAACCGAGGGGGTGGGGGTGATTTTATTCTAATGATGAATTGTAAAATATCTCATATATCAATTTCATATTATGTTTTAGTTTTATGCATATTTACACAAACGTAGATTTTTGGTATTTATTTGCACCTATTGTCATGCGCTTGATGTATATTTAGATCTATATATTATGAACAATGTTGTGATTGCATAATATTTTATTTTCTGTCTTTTTTTTAACCAGGTGGGGGGTGTCTCTGTCTCTCTGTCTCTCTGTCTCTCTGTCTCTCTGTCTCTCTCTCTCTCTCTCTCTCTCTCTCTCTCTCTCTCTTCAAAGATTTTAAAATACTCAAGACATGTCGCGGGATAAATGATGATGTAGATCTAGGTCACGGGTTTCGCAAGGGAAAGTTGGTATATTTTTATCTATTTCTCTATTTACCTTATTCTATATTTTTATTGGCACATTTTCTTCCTTCATAGAGTATAGAGCTATAGCTTGTTCACTTTCGTCTGACTGCTGTTAAAACAAGGTAAAATTAAATTACTCTGTTAATCTGCTTCGACTTTTGCATGGGCCTACGGGTCTAAGTATTGGATGACCAACAGAATCGAAAAGCTCATTTATAAAGGTCACTGCAAACTAAGGTTCCAACACCTTTTCTTAGTTGCTAGCCTAATACGGATTTTTAAAAAAACTGATAAGGGATTTACAGCATACACCTAAAACATTACAAAGTTGACATTTTTTTCTCAACACCACAGCAAAACGTTCACCTAAAAAAACACAATTCAAGAAACGGTGTGAGTAATATTTAAGACTCACGTGGAGACATGGAGACAGTCCTGGGATGAAATCGACAAACTTACAATGAAATGTAGGGGCAGGGTGGTGTCGCTGTCTCAAAATGAGCTATTTGTTGGTTAGGTTGCTATAAGTCATTTATCTTAGCTCAAGTCTGTATATGTATGTACCCAAAGAGTTGTTTTCAATTAATATTATTGGGCCCACAGAGAAAAAACTTTTTATTATTACTGGATCAATGTTTTAAAAAAATAATTTTGTTTCTACTGGCCAGTAGAAGTCTCGTGCAAAGTTTCTTTGACATTTGTAAAGTAAATAAGCTACATTCTGTTTTTACTCGGACAGACAAAAAAATGAACAATCTATATTGTACGTATTTACTACAGCATCCTTAATTTTTATAATATTTCTTCAGCTTTAGTGATGTTTTTGTAGAATTTGAAATGTATCTTAATTGCTTACACCAATTTTTAATAAAAAAGGGAGTATTCTTTCAATTCTTGATATGTCTTCTAAAAATCTATTTTTTCAATGTTGGTTGGTGCGTTGACTTTTTTTTCTCACGCTAGATTCTAAGGTGGATGCGGACATTTCTCGTTCAATCTCCGTAGAATTGTAAATGGGCTGATTCATGTCACGCTCATAACTGTGCCTGATCTAATCCTTACTATTGTCATTTCCCTCTACTTCTTTTGTATGTTTGTCACACTCTTGTGACTTGCTATTTCCGGGGTGCCCTGATAGTCGAAGCAGACCTTGTGCTGTTGAAGCTAGAGAGGTTAGCAGAGTAAGTCTGATTCCATGTAAAGATTTTTCTGTTGAAACCCACCCCTTTGCGCTCATATGACCTTATGCACTTGCGAGCGCCGTAAAACCCTCTGCTAAAAAAAGCACAAAAACATACCTTGTAACGTTTTTAAAAGAGCAAACAAAACATCTCTCTGTCTCTAACACTGCCCCCCCCCCCTTTCTGTAGCAAATGTAAGGGCCCTTTGTTGCTTCTATTCCAATAATATTATTTCTGTCGGAAAAACTCAAACGAATGAAAAAACAACAACAGAAAAAGCCGGGAAAACCTGATATTTGGCATCCCTGTATTAAAAATAGAAACGATTGAACATCTCCTTTGCTTCCACCCTTAGCCCCAGCCATCAACCAATGCCCCACAGTCAACCAGAGGCACACCTTCCGTGCTTGGACCAATCATTCGAAGAACTTTTTTCTTGACTAGCCGGCCGATCAGAGCTACAGGCATTGGTCAAACTATTTTCCCACCTCTTTCCTCTGGCTACCCAGGAAAGTTTCCGTGCTGGAGCGCCACTCGAGCACTTTCACAGACACTGGTGAGATTTCCCACCCACACCACCCTCACCATCTGCACCGCGTAGGGCTGACATAGATTGGGGGGGGGGGGGGGGGGGGGGGGGCGGAGAGCACTGAGACCGTATTTGTAATCATTGGGTAGCATCAAGGAAGGTATAAATGGTCGTTTTTAAGCACAAGGGGGTTATCCCGAAAAATGCTGTTTGGGGATAATTGAAGGTAAAGTTTTTGCCCTCGTTTATTTTCTTTAAAAAACAAGGAGAGTTTTCTCTATAACCAAACATATACACACCAATGAAACCAAACTTCTCCTATAGGTAGGAAAATGCCCACTTTTGGTGTAGGTCAAGATTTCTGGAAACCCCCGAAATCTGGGTTAGCCCGCTTGTCCTTAAAAGCGACCAAATAAAATTTCTTCTTAGGTCCGTGGGTGACATTTTTCCCGACGTCGCCGCGCTTTTCCCTTTCGTCAACCCTCAGCCACATCCCGAATCGTCAGCCACATCCCAACCTTTAAAACGGTTCAAACTTCAATCTATTTATAGGTAGTTAGATCTACCAGAACATGTATTAGGCAAAGTGATGTGCAATGATAGTCGCAATAGAGAGATTGTTTTGGTCTCTCTTTCCTCATCTGCACCACACGAATTTGTTAATGTTTTTCCCTGGACTCTGCCTTTACTAAAGTCTCGAATCTAGATCTAGTTGTAATCTAGTTGCAGCTTGCAGATTTAATAAATTGCCGACAGGGATAGAGAGAGAGAGAGAGAAGGGGGAGGAGTAAATCTTGCAAGAACTTCCGGGCAAAACAAAACGGCGACCCGCGTAGTTCGGCTCGATTCGAAAAGTGAAATAGCCAAAGCATCTTTGTAGACCATCAAATTAGCTTATTCTTGTGCTATAACGTCATTTTTTTCTTTGCTTTTGTCAATTTGATCACCCACACCGATAGACAGTATTCCGCAATTAGGAAAAACGGGTCTTGTTTCAGACCAGGCGAGAATAGCCAACGCTGACAAGTCTCACCCGGGGTGAAAGGTCGATCGTATTTTTAT